AGAGAAATCACCCCCAGGGAGGATAAGCCATGCCACAGTCCCTCTCCAGTCTCCTCCTAGGATCTCAGGCATGCACACACACACACCTGGCATGATTTTCAAGCCACCGGGTCTGGGACTCGAACCACAGTCATCCATGTGGAAGTCCAGCAATCGAACTTCTACGCCATCTGTTGGTTGCCACAGCATGTTTTTCAAGACACTGGGGCCAGGATTCAAACCATGGTTAGCTAAGAGGGATCCAGTTCCCTTAACCATGAAACTTCTAGGGTTGACCATCTCTCATCTTTTTTTAAAAAAGTCTTTCTTCATGAGCTTGAACTCTGGTACAGTATTAAAACACTGTTTGAAAAGTTATTTTGACACTTGTTAAAATGGTAGGGAGGACTTTATGCAGGACTATTGCAAATAGGTGTCAAGACTTCGGTGGTAGGGGTGAGGGATGGGGTTGTCAACCTAAATAGAAGGCTGAGGCATAATAAGTGAAATAAAAGAGGTTAATTTGAGCCACGGTTTAGGACAAATTGCCCAGATTAACAGACCCAAAAATCAAAGGTGATCAAATATCAAGGGTGCAGGAGGAGGAATTTTAAATGGATATTGAGAGTGATTACATATTAAGGATGGGTGGGTAGGGATTCTTACCAAATTGACTATAGAGATTCTTGCTATTGAGGCAGGAGAAAGCTAGCAAATGGTAGGGGTCAGAGGGCTAGAGCTTCTTTCCATGTGGCTAGAATAAAAAAACTGATCAGGAAAACATAAACAAAACAAAACAAAACAAAACAAACAAAAACTGATCAGGGCAGAGAATTCCCTGCCCAAGGTAATGTAGGCAGGATAGTGGGGGATGTCTCTCTGATGAAGTCACATTTGATGTAGCCAATGAGATGAATCAGTGGGCCCAGCCACATTTAATAGAGCCAATAAGATGAGAACGATCAGTGGGCTCAGCCAACGCTCAACGCTCAACCCACCCAGCCTAGATTTAAAAATGATAACTCTCACAGAATGCATCTGCTGGGGCCTTTGAACCACTCTTTCTCTGCCTGCTCAGGCCCCCTCCTACCTCTCAGGAGTATACTTTCACTTTTACTTAATAAACTACCTTTTTCTTTTCACTGTTTACATGTTTCCTTCAATTTTTTTTGTCCAAAACGCCAAGAACCTGAATATCATCAGGGAAGCCATTCTGCAACACTACAAATAGGACTAGGCAGGCCAAAATCTGGGCCCAAAGAGGAAGCCAAAACAAACGAGAGCTCAGAGGAGCCTCCTAACTAAAGTTTGGTCAAGGAGGGAGTCATTGAATACCAAGCTGGCTTGCCCTTTATACCATCAACGTGACGCCGCTCCACTTATACCTCCAGCCCCAAGGCTGTTTAAAACAAAATAACAAAATTCAGGTTATAGAAATTCTAGGGGGTGGGGCGCTCCCACCACAGTTGCAGGGGGTAACGGACTACAACTCCCATAAGCCCTCGTGGGGCTCCGCTCAGTCCCACCCCGCCCACGACTGAGTATTGCGCCTGCGCGGAAGGTTTTACGCGGCGAGGCGGGGGCGGAGACAGGGCTACGTGGGTGGAGGAGGAGGAGAAGGGAAAAAGAGATCATAGATTTCTGCCTCGGCCTAGAGCGGCCCTTAAAGTGCTGGGGAGAGGAGGGCGGGCGGGGACCACCCCAGAACTGGCCGCCGGCGGGATCATGGGGACCCGGGACCCCCCCCCCCCAG